TCTGGGGTAGTTTGCCTTGCTGCAGCGAAGGGGTCCTTTGCATTCGCCATCTCAGGGGTGGTGGGCACGGGAGTCGCCATAGAATTCGCACCGAAAAACCCGGGTGCGGTTGAAAGCGGCGTGGTGACGGCTGGTGCTGGCACAGGCTCTGGGGTAGTTTGCCTTGCTGCAGCAAAGGGGTCCTTTGCATTCGCCATCTCAGGGGTGGTGGGCACGGGAGTTGCCCCAGAATTGGCACCGAAAAGTCCCGATGCGGGTGCTGGCACAGGCTCTGGCGTGGCATGGGCTGGCACAGGGGCCTGCACAGGAACAGGCACGGGAGCCTGCACGGGAACAGGCATGGGGGCCTGCACGGGAACAGGCACGGGAGCCTGCACGGGAACAGGCATGGGGGCCTGCACGGGAACAGGCGCGGGTGCCTGCACGGGAACAGGCATGGGGGCCTGCACGGGAAATTGCACCACCGGGGGCTCGGCATTGATTAGGTTTGGATTCAAAGGAGTTGGTGCGGCCCTCAGGGTGTGCACCGAGTTGTGGGGCACGCCCTGGTTCACGTTGGGGACAACTCCATTGTTGCCATGGCCACCATCCTCAGTCCACAAAAAGCACGGCGTGTGAATCTATGCCCCTTAATGCTTCCCTGCTCAACAGGCCAGCCGAGACACCACCTCTCCTGCTGCAATCTCAAGCAAGTCCTGCACATTGCTTCTCACAGCATCGTGGTGAACTGCGAAGGACCTCTACAAGCAAATCTCCATGGCCTGGGCGCTGACGCAATCCGAGTCCGAAGCCGCCAACCCCAAATCCCCCCACAGAAAAAACGATGATGCGGTGGAGTGCTGTAACTGACAACCCCGGACGACCAGCCCCGCTTCTCATTCCAATGTCATCTTCAGTGCTTGCACTCGACGTAACGGTTTTGGGCTCTTATACTCTTCGACTGAGACTTATGAATCCCTGAGCCAGAAAAACCCTAATCCGTTCATGAATATCCGATGCCTATGAAGTCTGGAAAGTTTTATGAAGACCTATAAGTCCTACGGTCTCGGCTCCTTCAGCGCCAGGAGCATCTCCTCGTCCATCGATCTCCGGTCCTGGCAGGTGTGATCCCAAGAACACAAGCACCAAGTGATATAATATAACCCTAACCCCCCAGGTACCTACTATATAGGGAACTGGAGCCCCTAAGGCCCTCTATGGTAGGNNAGGTACCTGGAGGGTTAGGGTAACATAGCGTGACATATCACAATATCAGATAACAGAATAGACTAGAAGCGAATAGAACAGAGGGGAATAAACAAGATCATAGGATATGCATTATAAAAACCAACACAAGATACAAATCATGTCATACAATAAAGATAATATTACACAACATAATATCCGATACCATATAACAACATAATATAGTAGAATATTCTGTAGTATAGTATAGTATGCTGTACTATAATGTACTATTGTGCAATATATGTGCTGCAATATAGTATAATGCAATACGGTTTAATATGTAAACTAGAGTATCTATGGTATATCGTATATAGCACATATTGCATAGTACAAGCTACTGCAAAGTAGATCATCCTCTGAAGAAGCTTTGATATAAGCCCGAGCTGATGAACGGCCCATGCACGCACTAAGCTTTCTTCGGCTTTTGATCCTATATTGACTAGAGTTCCGGGGTAAGGACTCCGGATGCACGATCGAATGGGAAGACGGGTAAGGACACAGGGTTTCTTGGTACAACAGACGAAGAGTACAGATGTCCAGAGACAGAGCTTCCTAGACTCTGCGGTTTCGAAAAACTTGAGGTTGCTCTGTAGAGGTCTGCTCAAGACGACACGGTTTAGGATTCATATCCTGGAACATTCATAAATAGGCTCCTGATGTAACGACAGTCCGATGTCTTGCTTCCACTGCATGTCTCATCCTCTGCAAGCTGGGAATGATACATGAAGACCCACAGACAAGGTGTCCGTAGGCTTCAGAACCCTTCCCCCACCGCCCCNNCCCCCCCCCCCCCCCCCCCACACATACTCCAAGCAAAGTCCCCAAAGGCGGTGAACTTTGAACGACCGGGGGCCTGCTGCGCCTGTCGCATCTCTGCAAAACCTTGTGCTGCCTCTTTTTGACTGCGCTGGAGATCAGAGGAGATCTGCGCAACGTTCCTGTGGAGAGGCTTTCATGATCCAGCGATAAGACGATAAGGGTTCAGGGTTGAGGGGCTTTGCTGTCATAAGCGATATGATATCGGCACGCTCCACTTAAACATTCCTCTAAAACTACATGTTCGTCTGTGCTGTAGTAGAAACCGCCATCTCATCAAAATACAGTCACACAAGCAATGCCTGCAAGTGTGCTGGATCTGCCAAAGACATGGGGGTGGCAAGTCGCCGACCCATATGTAAGCGTATCAGCAAACCGATCCTGTACGGTTTTCGGGTGATAGGACAGACTTTCAGGGTCCTTCACAGGGCGTGTGTGGGTGTGGGTGTGGGTGT